CGGCTAGCGCAGATAGCCCTCGTGTAGCTTTGCGCGAAATTCAAAAAACAAACAAAGTTATTTAACTACAAAACTGTGCATTTTCTATCTTACACACTGCCAGAAAAAGTTTTGTCAAAAAATTTTCCCCAAAAGATTGTTAAGCTTGAATATAGTAACAAAGTTTTCTAAATTATATATTGTTAAATACAGTCGCTAAGCTAAACATTAATAGCAAAGCTATCAAGATTAAATTCTATTCTGTCAACATTATAAATGTTTTATCGTTTTAACACGCTCCTCAGGAGCCGAGGGGTGTCTTCACACTATAATTTGTTGAATATTAAAAGCAAATTCAATCCGGAAACTCCCAAATTATTTATAAATAATCACTTGGTCAGTAAGGAATAACTTGCAGGTTGTAAAGATTCACGTTGCAATGATAGTTGGTAAAAAAATCACTTTATTGGTCTAATAATATTCAGATCCAAAGCGCTTCTGGACACATCTGGAACGCTACACAAACAGTCAAAATGCCCACAAAACGTATCCTACACTAAAACACGAAAGTAAATAGCGTACACAAACATACAAAAAGTAGAGGCATTCAAGAAACGATTGAAAAACACATGCAAACCACAAGCTATAAACACCAATTATTTCAATAGGATCAATGAGTGTATACTATAAAACAAACTCATACACACTAAGATTTCCCGGTAAAAGCAAGTAAAGTGACAGAGACATTTACAAAACGGAATTCATCACATCCATAAAACAAATCACCTGGAGAAGATAGCGTACAAGCCATCATCAGAAGCAGAAGTTGTTTGACCACTTAACAGCATTATTAATTTATCACTGAACGCAGGCTATATCCCAACCTCTTGGAAGCATGCACATATTCTTATGTTCCTAAAACGAGCAAATAAGCCAGAGAGTTATCGTCCAATCAGCTGTGTAGGTATAATTTTAGAAAGAATTATATAAAAGGCGGTCGCTATACTAGCTCACTCCAGCAAATTTTTAATGACTTAAGAGTACTGTAGTCCCCTGATTCCTTAAAGACTGACCAAACGTTGGTTGGTTTCCCACAATCTTTCAGCTTCAACCGATGCTACCTTATACCTAACTTCAAAACAATAAGCTTTGCAAATAAGTGCGGAGTAATAAAAACAAAATGAACTTTAGTTTTTTCATTTCTCCATCTTAAGCTGTCTTATCTTAGCACGTGCCCTCATTAATCGTGCCTTTTTTGTTTCATAAGTTTTTAAAGAGTTTGATTTAATGTGTTTGTTGCTCTTAACTGAGTAAAAAAATGAATAGATTATTTATTTTAGCCTCATTATATTTCATTACTTTTAACGTTTACCAGAGCTTTTATGAATGACACGTTAATCAACTTGCGTATTAATCCTTTATAAATTGAATAACTATTTACAATTGTCCCTCATGTCCCTTGTCAGAACTTATGAAAATTAACATAATACCTGCGTTCCGCTGCGAGGTTCAAAGGGGCCCTATGATCCACAGGGGCTACAATGTACCAATCAAGCTCCCCCGTTATCGCTAATTACTTCTATAGCTACCCTAAGGAAAATCCATACACAAAACGATTCCAGTTAAGACACTCACCCGTTGTACCTCACCACGTGTACCAAGTTTGGTCTTGCTAGCTTGTAAGTGGTGATAAGAACATAATTTGAAAAATGGCGCCTTCGGGAATCCAACGGGACATTAACACAGAGTATTGAAACTTTCTAAGTCATACAGGCTCTCAATACTATTAATATAATTAAAATATAACATTCAAATAGTGAACGTATTAAACATTTTACCTTATTTATTCTTGAAAACTACTAATACTAAGTTTGAGATAAGTCTTAAGTTTCATG